ATTGAATCATTATTGCAGTGACTTCTTGGGATTTATTTTCTCCTCATAGCTTGTATAGATAGTGTAACATACGGGCTTGCTATTAGCCTGGTTCCTGAGAGGGTACGGTGCAACTGTGTTGTCTTTCTGTGCATGTGTAAGCTCCTCTTTAATGCTGGACTCCTTTGTCTGGGTACAGCCATGTTCTACAGGGAGGTATAGGCCTTAAAAATACAGTTTTTCAGTTTTTATGAAAATTGATAGCAGAATGGGGTGGGGGAAGAGAGACTTAAAGGAAGCACACGAGTCGTGTGGAAAGTACAAGGTGGCAAAGCCTTCCTAGTGCTGAAGAGGTGGCTGTGAGGAGCGATCCCTCTCCTGCCTTCATTGCCCCTCACCCGGTCCTGCTTCAGCTGCTATGGGGCCATGGGGTCTGACAGCAGAGATCCAAATAAAGAAATGCCTTGGGAAGCAGGGAGGCTCTTTTAGCCCAGATCAGTTCCCTGGTGCAGCTTATAAAGTGACTGCAGAAACAGCTGTTGGGCATTGGTACAAGAGGCAGGAATGAAATAGGGCTGTTGTGGGAACTTCCTACAGCAGCACCACCACCTAAAATGGAATTTTGGTTTTACTGGATTTATGGGTGAGCCCTGAGTTGATAATATTTCTTTTTCTTAGTGATTTTCAACATTTTTTTGTTCTCTCACATTTTTATGCTATTTCTCACACAAATTTGACTACTGGCAGCAGGCGGCACCCAGCTCTGAGCTTTGATACAAAGCTCTGCAGTGTATATATAGCTCTTGGTTTGATGTCTTAGCATGTCACCTTGCTATGTCAGGAGCCCACGGACGCATGGGTTCAGTGTTTTGCTTCATTATCATAGAATAATCAGGGTTGGAAAGGACCTTAAGATCATCTAGTTCCAAACCCCCCTGCCATGAGCAGGGACACCACATACTAAACCATGTCGCCCAAGGCTCTGTCCAACCTGGCCTTGAACACCTCCAGGGTTGGAGCATCCACAACTTCCTTGGGCAACCCATTCCAGTGCCTCACCATCCTCACTGTAAAGAACTTCTTCCTTATATCTAATCTAAACTTCCCCTGTTTAAGTTTGAAGCCATTACCCCTTGTCCTACCACTACAGTCCCTAATGAAGAGTCCCTCCCCGACATCCTTATTGGCCCTCCTCAGACACTGGAAGGCTGCTATGAGGTCTCCACTCAGCCTTCTCTTCTCCAGGCTGAACAGCCCCAATTTTCTCAGCATGTCTTCATATGGGAACTGAGAGCTACTCAAGGATCCAATGGAATTTGTTTGAAGACACTAAGCTGTGAAGAGATGTGGGCAATCGAACTGATGATGCTTGAAATGCATGTGCTGGGCGGGTGGGCAAAAGAAATAAAGTGAATTTGTTTCTCCTGGCAATCCCACAGCTGAGAATTGCTCAAAGACAGGTGGAGATTTAAAGGACAACACTGCAAGAGCATGAAGGTGATCTTTGTATGGAACAACACTGCAGTGAGCTCAACGTGTATGTAATTTTTCAGTGCAAAATATGTACCTGTGAAGCTTCACATTTGTAGGAAAATGTGAACATAGAGCAGCTGTTTGTGCCTGGCCCTAAGGTTCGTTGTGGCCTCTATCCTGTCACCAACTGTCCCAAGTCAGTGAAAGAATGTAAGAGCAATGTGAGGACTAACAGAACCCCCCAGTGCCTGCTGGGAGAACCTCCCTGTCTGCTGCTTCTGAGCTCGATGCTGAACACTGGTGACGGACAGTGCTGTTCAGAGCTGGAGCATCAGGCACTGGTTCGCTGTCTCCCTCTGTGCACCCTGCAGGCGAGCATCACGCTGCCTCTTGGCCTCTTTGTAACTGCAAAGTGACAAAAGCCCTTTAATTCTCACATGCCAGGATAAAAAAAGGGACAGTGTGTGCAGTCTGGCCTAAAGGGAAGCCGGTGAGATTACCGCTAAGGCTTCAGGTAAGTCCTCGTTTCTTAGAGATTTTTGTATGTGTTAGAATACATGGAATGTAGGACTTCAGACTCATGGTTGTACTTTTAAGTGGTGCTATTTTTTATACTAGTTTACAATGCCCTTTTGTATTAGCTTATATCTGTAGCACATCCTAAGCAAGCGTGTAGTAGTCAGGTCTGGAGCACAGGCGAGAGCGTGAATGCCTGTGAGAGGAACAGGGATTCTGGCTTCTGGTCAGCATGTTGTGTACCTGATGGGGGCTGGAGAGCTTGGAGGAGGGAATCTGTGATACGTTTTTAGTAATCACAGTTTAATATGAACACTACATTATTGTGCTATTGGACCTGTATTATGGTAGACACTGTTCTACTGTTTCACTTGTAAACTGTACATTACCCAATAGAGAAGTCAAATCCATTTTTAAGTCACTACTATTTATTACAGTGTTTACTTGTGTGATCCCCACGTTTGCAGCACTGTAGATGCCTACAGCACTAACCGAATGTCGGTAATGTAAATAAACGTAAACACAGCACCACCGTACCCGTGCTGTTCCTGCTAACCGTGCAGAAGGCTGTGCGGGGGCAGGCGCTGCGGCCGCGCGGTGCGGGTGCGGCACGTCGGCCTCC